TTGTCTTTAAGTTGACTTGTTTTGAACGGATTTTAATTCTAAGTCTTCCGCTGTGTGTCTTTGATAATTGCCTTAGCCGTTCTCACGGTGGCGGTAATGTCTTAGATATTCCTAAACCGTATTTTAAGGAGTAAAATAGGTATTTTTAAAGGAAAGGAATTTTTAGGGTGTTACAATTAACCTTTCACGTCTAGGGCAAAGGCAACTTTGAACTTGGCTAGGTGTTTCAAGAACTTGTGAGTGCGGAATTGTGTTTAGTAAAAGTTGGTTTAGAAAGAGAGAGAGAATTAAGTATTCCTTGATGAGAGTTGATGATTGAAAACGGAGGTCCGGGGACTCTATTTATAGGAAAATAGTCCGGAAAATAATCAGAATTTGAAAAGGAATAAAACTCCACGCTGTCGCCAACAAATTACCTTGTCGCCAGGCAACAAGCTTGTCGTTTAGCGACAACTGGGATTTTCTACACGCTTTCAACACGGAGTCCACTTATCAATAAAATTGAGTCGTAAAGTCCGTATGAAGGCTAAAATTATAATTTCATATAAAACAATATTTTATTCCACGTAAAACTCGTAGACATAATTATCAATCCTAATTCCACTAGGATATGAAAAGAACCTTCTAGATGATTCTAGAAAACTATAATCAATCCTACTAGCTTTAGGAATAATAATGGGCCCTCCCCTAGATCATTAGGATGTATGTAAAGATCAAACTGGGCCCAGTTTAGTATTTTGGCCACAACTTCCTCATTATTCATCGGAATTAGGCTTATAATATATCGTTGGAAAGCTCTTTTAAAGCCCCATCCAACTACACTATTATTGGACCCTTATCATGGACCAAATTAAACTAAATTGGATATTTTCATAAAAACAGAGTTGATTTTCGAAAACAACAAAAAAGATTTTAATAAAAACTAACTGCATCACTAGACTTTTCACACTTTCACTTCATTTGATTATGATTCGACGCGAAAGGCATTCATCATTGGGTTTGGTTTTGGGGAGACACAATTGGGTGTCTACACCATGGTTTCATCACGAGGAGAGAGAAAGTGGCGGCGGTTAGTGGCGGTGGTAGTGGCCTTTGAGGGGAAAGAAGAGGAGGGCGACGAGAGAGAAGGAGAGAGAGGGGTGAGACGAGAGAAGGAATAGATCGCCGGAGAGAGAAGGAGGAGATCGCAGGCAGGAGAGAGAAAGGGAGAAAGAGGAGAGGGGAGAGGGGAGAGCAGGAGAGAGGATGAGAGGGGAGAGAGGAGAGAGTTAGGGTTAGGGGTTTATAAAGGGGGGCAAGTTTTTTTTTTTTTAACAAAGCCACCGGTTCAAAACTTGTGGGATTAATATTTTCCCCACCGGTTCAGCAATACCCTTCCCTCATTTTTCCCCCCATTTTTCCCCACCGGTTTTTAAAAACCGGTGGGCATTACTCGCTGTCAATCTTCTTTTTTCACCTAGTGTTAATATCCATTAGAAACTTATATAAGCTCAAATTAATTCTAATTGGTTTAGGAATGAGATTAAAGCCTTTGGACCCTTTAGATGATCATTGGGTTGTAGGTAAGGTGGGCTTAAGTTTAGTTTGGGCTCAGTTTAGTATTTTGCCCATAGCTTATTCGTTATAACTCGGATTTGAGCTTATAATATATCTTTGGAAAGCTCTTTTCAACCCATCCAACTATTCAATCATTGGACCAAGATTATGGACCAAAATAAAATGGTATAAACATTTTTATAAAAAGGACACAAACGCAAATTTTAAGATGTACCATGATGCACCTAGAATTAGGTGCACCACACCTATACTTTTGAGGTGCACCACACCTATACTTTTGAACATTTAGTAAAAAAAATTGAACAATTGCAAATTTTGAACATGTAGTAAAAACTTCTTAACATCGCAAATTTTGATCATTTAGTTAAAAAATCTGAACAATCGCAATGCATCACGCCTATACTTTTGAGCATTTAGTTAAAAAAATCTGAACAATTGCGAATTTTAAACATTTAGTAAAAAGATCTGAACATCGCAAATTTTGACTACATAGTAAAACAATTTGAAAAATCGCAATGCACCACGCCTATACTTTTGAACATTTAGCAAAAAAATATGAACAATAACAAATTTTGAACATTTAGTAAATAAATATGAACAATCACAAATTTTGAATTATTACGAGTCAGGCAAATTTTGAATTACTCTTAATAATTCAAGAATTTTGTTATATATGAATTGAACATTTAGTGTATACAAAACGAACATTTCTTTATAAAATATGAACATAAAAGTTTCATGTTTATGTTAAATTTATGTGACGTGTTCATATTTTTTTACTAAATGTTCATTTTTTGTAAAATGTTCAGTTTTTTTACTAAATGTTCAAAATTATAGATGTGGTGCACCTATTTTTAGGTGCACCATGGTGCACATAATACTAATTAGGACGCAAAATGAATGATTTTAAGGGTTTAAAGGCACGAAAAGAGAAAAATAAGTTATGGTTTGGGGAAATGGGATAGAAATTGGATTGGTTTATGAAATCCATTGGGATTGAATGAGGATTTAAGTACTCCAAGATATAATACTCAACTCGACCAATAATGACGGTGAAAGGTTGTTCATCATCGGGTTTGGTTTTGGGGAGACATTTTTAGGTGTCTACAGTAATGTATCTAGACAAATGTAACGAACTAGTATAATTTTATTGCTTACTCTTGTGATATATATACTCTTGTACTCATCAATATAATTAAGCTTTCCAACATTCTCTTTCTCATAACTCTACCATGATATCATGAGCTATTAATCCATTTTTTTTCCCGCTTCCGCTACTACGCCATTATCATATTAATGGCTCACTATCAAAATCCTTTGCCGCACCGACAAATAATGATAGTGACCATATTCAAGCTCTCTTCCTTCTCGGAAAGCTTCAAACCCAAATCAAACTTTCTATATCAACTCTTTTGGCACCCTCGTATTTCATACACCAAAAGATGCCAATAATCAATTTTTTTTTCTCCAAACCTCTAGTTATGAAAAAAAAATCCCTTTTTTGGCCCAAACCCGTAGTCTATCAACCGAGTGCTGCAAACATAACCTCATTTTTTCAAAATTTTTTGGAAAACCCCAAATCCTCTCTTTGAATGATAAAAATGTAATTCTTCTCCTATGGAAAAAGTTACATGCAATTGCATCTCTGTCCTCCATACCTCAATTTTCTCCCCTTAAAAAAAATCATCATTTCTTCTTTCTCTTTATCTCCTTTATTAAAAATAACCCTTTTAATGCTCCACTCTCTCCAAACCCTCTCGGAGAATCACAATGCAATGCAATGAACTCTTCTCACCTCCAATTCATCAAATCCTACATTGAACAAGATTTGATATGTTATATCCAAGATTGGTCTCTCGTTCCGGATGTGCGTCTTGCGGGGGCGGCATGTAAAGGATATTCAAATCATTATAAGTTATTGTGTTAATTTTGTAATCCCTTGATTTACTCTTTAGGTTGTTGATAGTCAAAGTTTTCCCTAACTCTTAGCTAATGTATCTAGACAAATAAACCCAGTCTAATTTTATTGCTTACTCATGTATATATACTCTTGTACTCATCATTATAATTAAGGTTTCTAACATTCTCTTTCTCATAACTTTATCAATTCAACCTCTTCCTTGTATAGTTCCTTCCAAACCTTGTTGCCTATTAATTTTTTTCGGTGATTATTCCTGAAGGAGGGTGAAAATCAGGGAGAGATTTGCCTACAATTCGCTCAAGCTCATGGCGATTTCAAATGCTTTTATTTTCTTCTTTTCCCCTTAATTTCTTTTTCAATTTTTTATGTACTTTAAATCATCAATTAAATTTTTTTAGTAAAATTCATACTGTATATTATTTTATGTAGTATTCTAGATTTTGTTGGGGTATTTTCGTTTATTGGGGTTTTTATGTGTGAAGTTTGGTAGAGGAGATTTTTAATTTTAGAATTCTAATTGTTTAGCCAACCATTAATTTTCTTAAATTTTTAATCGTCTTTTTTTTTTTTTTTTTTTTTTTTGTATTTAGAGAGCCACAAGGGCGGGGTGAGAATCGATCTAAGGATCTCCTTAAATTTGGAGGGAAGCTCTAACCACTTGAGCTAGAGCTATCCCTCACTCTCATTTTTAATTTCTTTTTAATTGTCTTCTTTGATGCATATTGAATGAAGTATACTGCCTCATGACTTCTCATTCATTAATTGCTTTTTTCGAGGACAGGGGTGAATATTATTCGTTGTATGTAGTTATTTAAACACAAGTACAGGAAAGATGGTGAAATGGAGCGATACAAGGCGAGACTTGTTGTGAATGGCAAGTCTCAATAGGTTGGCATTGACTATGATGAGATTTTTAGTCCAATGGTGAAACAAGAAACTATTCGCACAATGTTGAGTATTGCTACGGGGAGAGATTGTCCTATTCATCAATTATTATATGTTTAAAACGCGTTTCTTCATGGTGTCCTCATAGAAACTGTATACTACCTCAGATTTTTTTTTTAGTTGCAACTTTGGGGTATTATTTGAGAGATATAAAATATTCCAAAGTTGCAACTAAAAAAATCAGAGGTAGTATATGCATCAACCTCCGTGATTTGTGATCCTAATGTTCCCTATTATATATATGTGTGTCGGCTCCTCAAATCTTTGTATGGTCTCAAACAGGCTCCCAGGGCATCATGATATCAATGCTTTGCCAATTACATTATGCAGATTGATTTTGTGTGTAGTAAGAGTGATAACTCTCTCTTTATTTTTCGTCAGGGCACGAAAATTGCATACCTTTTGTTATATGTTGATGACAACTCAAGTCTGACATTATTTCTCTTCTCAAGTAAGAGTTTTCCATGATAGATCTTGGTTAGTTGAGTTTTTTTGGGGGCATTTCGTTGAAACGTACCAGGGACAGTATATTTTGAGTCAAAGCAAGTATGCAGAGGAGATATCTCCCAGAGCTAAGATGGATAATTGCAAACCCGTTGAAACCAAGTCGAAACTTGGTGCTCTCGACAGACAATCGGTTAGTGACAATTCTCTTTACATGAGTCTTGCAGGTGCTCTTCAGTACCTCACTTTTACTAGATCGGACATTGTTTATGTGATTCTGCAAATATGCTTATTTATGCATGACCCGAGGGAACTGCATTTCAACGCTCTCAAGCGTATTATTAGATATATCAGAGGCACTATGGATCATGGCCTTCATTTGTACCGTTCTGCTCCTACGATACTTGTTTCTTACACTGATGCCGATTGGGGTGGTTCCCTGATACTCGGCGTTCTACTTCTAGATATTATGTTTATTAGGGTGATAATCTGGTCTCTTGGTCTCCAAACAACAGGCTACTTTGTCCCGTTCTAGTGCCGAAGCAGAATATAGAGGTGTTGCTAATGTTGTTTCCGAAGTTCGTTGGCTCCGGAATCTGCTTCTAGAGCTACATTAACCTTTGCCATGGGTGTCCTTGGTTTATTGTGATAACATTTTTGAAGTTTATTTGTCTTGCAATCCGGTGCAACATCAACGTACCAAGCACATTTTGCATGCAACAAGGTCGTTCTAGGCCAATTTAAGGTGCTTCATGTTCCCTCTCCATACCAGTACGTAGACATTTTCTGAAAAGGATTACCTTGACATCTATTCCTTGACTTCAGATCTAGTCTCAGCGTTCATTTGACCTCCTCCCGCTTTGACTGCGGGGGGTGTGATAGAGATTATGATTAATAATCTCGTATATATTCAGTAAGATATATATTGTATAATTTAGTAAATGTTGTATTCTCATATTTAGGTTGTACTGTCACTTATATATATATATATATATATATATATATATATATATATATATATATATATGTATGTATATATATGTATATGTATGTATTGATTAATGAGAAAGCATCCAGACCCTCCACTAAGGAAATTAAAATTACACAATCTAACAATGAAGAAAAAAAATATTTACTTAACCCATTTAATACAATTGTGGATACAAATTAAAAAGCTAATCAACTTGCAATACACAAGTAATGCAAGGATTTAAACAACATTAATTCCATGCCACTTAACATTTCAAAACATCCTACATTCTCTAGGAACACCCTTTGGAAACCTTTGTGCATCAGTACAATAATTGTAGATCATGAAATACTTTTGAACCCATCTTAGTCTCCTTCTGCTCCAAGCATTCAACTCTTGGTTTTGCCACTTTGCATCAGTGAAGGCCGCGGTTGCAGCCGCGTGGTTAGGGTTGACATTGAAGTTCCGGTAGTAAGCTGTGAACGGAGCCTTAGCCCAATCTGTCTTAACACGGCCTCCTTGGGTAGCCCATTGGTCTGCATTCCATAGGCTCGAGTATATCTTCATGGGTTGGCTCTTTGGGAAGGGCACTCCTCTAGCCTCATGGTTCTTGAATACCCTAATGGGCGTGTTGTCTACCAAGAATCTGCATGAATTAATCAAGTCGCGATTTAATTAATTATCCAATAATTAGTACTTAGGCAAAATATTAAATATTTATTTATTTTAATTATTGTCGTGCTTTCGATTGTGATATATCATGTAAAATTACTCATTTACCCTTAATGAACTAAACAAAAGTCGTACTTACATGATCATACGAGGGGTCCAAGCGACAGAATAGGTATGGAATTTTGAGGTTGGGTCGAACCAAAGATGGAATTGTTGTTCCCTGCCACCTTTTCCTTTAGTAAACACATTAGTGTGGAGTGTGTATGGCTGGCCACTTACATTTCCTAAGAACTCGAAATCAATCTCGTCATGGGTTGCTCCTTCCGATGATAACTGCATACATACGTAACACAAGTTCAATCGTCATACACTAGAATAAAAAAAACTACGTAGAATATTAAAGAAATGACTCAACTTTATTTGAAGAATTGAAGACATGATAGTTTATTTTCACGTTCTCTTATTACTTGGTCTAATAAGTAATAATGAGATACATATCAACTTCTTTCCGAACATCTTAAAGTTGTATGTTCGATTAGTCATACTACACAACATTTAAATAACAGAAAAAGTTTATTATCATGCTCCCTTGGACTCTTATTATTTGTATCGTTATGCCTATATTAATTATCTGCTTTTGTGTTATTCTTTTGAAAAGCATGTTTAATTTATGTACATTCAAAAATAGTGATATGAAGTTATGAAATTGACATCAAAGAAATTATTGGTACTCCTTTCTAATAATAAGACCAAAACTACGTAGATGCCCATATTCTTTTTTTTTTTTTTTTTTTTTTTTTTTTTTTTGAAACCAGATGCCCATATTCTATTCTCGTGCAATTTGTGCAAAAGCTATAAACTAACCACCACTTTTTTCCTTTTTTCTTTTTCCAATTTAAAAAAAATTCCAACATAAAATTCATGTGGACCTACTACTCCATCATTTCTCAACTTAGGTGATGTGACTTATACTTTATAATAGCAATAAATACGATTGTTTGTTTATAAGTTACTTCTAAAAATAAATGTGGACGTGGACTAATAACTTAATAAGCTAGTGTACAATTATATGAGTATGACCTAAACTACATTAAAAATATCATAAGTTTGACATGAAGTTGAAGTAAGAAGTTTGTTTTAGTCTAGTCCTTTTTGAAGAACAACTTTGAAATATAGGAATATAAAGTGGTCACTTAGTTTATATGATGAAGAATATAAGAAGTCGCATTGCGATAAGGATGTATAGGCATGTAATTAACCTACTACTACGTCTAACTAAACAACCACTTATAGTCACACAAGTGAAGTCGATTTAATACTTACAAGTACCAACTAGTTAGCTAAACTATAGCAATCCCATTTGTGTGTTATTACTTCATTACCTAGTAAGTTCGAAATTAGTTGTTACAAACTTAAACCATATACCATGATACCTGATTTAAACTATTAACGTGACAACATAGGAGATACTATACTATACTAAAGTTAAATGGTGATCGATCAAGGATCGAAGAAGGCTTACATAATAAGCAGTGACAGTACCAGCAGAGTTACCCGCAACAAGTTTAAGTTGCATATCAATCCTTCCAAAGAGATACTCCCTCTTAGACCGAAAACCCGAACCCGAAACCCGATCAAGAGAAAGAGTAAGAAGTTGGCCTCTCCCAAACTTCTTAACTCTTCCATCACCAAATGTAATCTCAAAATCTTGATCAAAATTTCCCCCATTAACAACAACACTCAATGCTAGTGCTACCACCATTACCATGATCACTAAAACCCCTTTTCCCATTATTTTTTCCTAGACAAAAATGTCAAAACGCACTTTTTTTTTATATAAAATATTTTAGAGAGGATTTTTTTTTTTTTTTTTTTGTCTTGTAATTTTTTTATCTTGTAATTTAGAGTGATGAAATTGAGGGGTATATAAAGGGGAAGAAATGATTGAAGGAATCAATGGAAGAGCGTGTAGTAAGGTATGGTGTAATGAAGTGGGGAGTTTAAGGGCACCAGCTGGAGGTATACTGGTGCCAGCTGGGGTAAAATAAATACATATTTAAAACTATATATTATACGATGTACCCTTATAAATGGGTCATTTACTGATTTTTAAGGACTATTTTTTGGAAGGTTTTCTAATTTGTTTATAGTATGGTGAAGTGAAGTGAAGTGAAATAAAGGGTACATGAATCTAATTTTAGGAGTTTTGTCTCTTTATGGTATTATTGATGGGTCAATTTTATTATTTTGTTCAATGGTTTTATTACTATATTAGAATGTAGCTTGTAAATTTTAAATTTTAAAATTAGGGGTGGGTAGGTACACTACTTATTTATGTGATGGATAACTATTTTGTGATTTTGACTCATTATTAATGATATTTTTGTTGGACAATTTTTTTTAAAATAGTATAATATAAATGATTTGATGAGTAATTGTTGTTTGTAGTCATTGTAGGTGTTTAAGATAAAGATTCTCTATTCTTTATACCTGTTTATGTTGATTTTATATTAGATTATACATGTTTGAAACTTTTTGATGATATCTTTTGAAAAGAGACAAATCTAATTATAATTCGTGTTTATTTTCTTAAAAAAAAAATCTTGAGAGATTGCTTATATTTAGTGCATCATCGGGTTGTTTGATGATAATTAGTATGTACAGATATCATAGTAATCTAACTAACACTAATTAAGTGTGTGACATAAAGAAATAAAAGTTGATTTGAAATTGAAACATCTCAAAGAGAATCTTAACTAGAGAAAATGATGCCTACTCATACAAAAATTTATATTCACCTAAACATTTTGACTATATCTTTTTTCACTCTACTATATCATGATTAAATTAATACATAAATCAACTAGTTTACTTGATTAAAGTGTAACGTGTGGTATCTAAGAATTGACATCAGATATTATACTATCATTTACATCAGTCTCAATTATAAATACAATACTTAATGTTGAAATTGAGCTTGTACCATCAATTACAATAATAAATCATTTAGTCCAAGAGAATTAAATAGTCCACATCATTTAGTCAATAGTTGAACCTTTGGTTTTTAGCAAATTTCACTATCCAATATGGATCCAATTAGAGAGAAAGTGGGACCATTAGTTAACCAAAAAAAATGAAGATAACACTGAGTTTTATGGGTTATGGGCCCCATCAAAGCTTTAGCCCAAAACCCAAAAATCAAGACAGAAAATTCAGAAGATGATGTTCTTAGTAATTATCTCATCTTTAATTTCATTAGATTTTTTATGAGGTGATGGTTGTGAAAATTGCTTGGGTGGTGCATGGTTGGATGCCAGAAAGGAAGATACTGTCTTAAAATTAAATTATTACTGGTTTTTTTTTTTAGAACATTCTTGATTCTATTGGTTCTTAACAAACCTTGGAGAGGTGTATTTTATTGTATTAATTATATAATTGTATAATCTATGCCATTTTTTTATATTTTTATTATAAGCTTATCCATTCTATTGTTCTCCATGATTTTATCGTATGATTAGATTTTGTCATTGTGTGTTTCAATGGAGTCAAAATCTTCATCCTTATCTCTTTGTTCCTAATTTTGAGTCACAATAGGTGACTAGCTCACAGCTCTAGTTGTACTTTGTACACATATTATTGTTCATGAGTTTGCTTGATTAAAAAAATAAATAAATGTGTTTATTTTTTATTAGATTTAATTATAAGCTGATTTACATTATACATGAGCTATGAAGCTAAAGACATTGGGTAGTTGTAAACTTGTAACTAGAAATAGTATTTCACTAGCATATGAATTATGAACATGAATTGTGTAAGGGGTCATGTCATGTTTTTTGTGTATTCAAAATAGCATGAGTTTAATATAAGACATATTATGTTAGTTCGACTAACAA